CCCCCTCTGCGGGGATGGAGGGGCACGATCCCGAGCACGCGGTCGGATCTCCGCGCCCGAGCACTTGTGGTGGGAGAAACGGGTGCATCCTTGCAGGGGGACAGGTGGGAAGGAAAAGGTGCCTGGTGGGTCTGGAAGCCAAACTAAGGCTCTGTAAAGTATGAGGAAGAGAAAAAACGCTCCAGTTCCATCAAAAGCCAACAAGGACTTCAAGATCCCCGTTAAGAGGGGAAGGAAATTTGGGGGGAAAGGGGTGTGTTGGCTGTGGGAAGCAAAGCTGCGCCTCTGGAGTTGCTGCAGCGTGTGAAATACAGCAAGTGGAGGTGAAACGACCGCTAAGGAGGGTGAAATCCTGAAATCATCCCTCCTGGGCTGTGGAGACCCTCATCCCGGGCATCGGCAGGCTCCCAGCGCGTGGCAGCCAGGTGCCGGGCCAGCTCTCCTCCACTCCCCATGTGTGTCAGCGATGCTGTGGGGAAACATCCCCCACCCCCTTGTTTGTCTTGGCAGATTAAAGCTGTAATTAAAATCCAGGCTTTTGTGCGAGCTAACAAGGCCCGTGGGGATTACAGGATGCTGGGTAAGTGCCTGCTCGTCTCCGCTCCGAAGCGGCTGTAATTAATTGGGAAGGGGACTCTGCCTCCTCCCTCGCTGGCCCTGCGCGGTGGGGAGGCAGTGGCAGGCTGGCCACCAGTGTCCCCGTGGCAAGCACGAGAGCGGCAGAGGCTTGGTGGCCCCTCTGTGTGGGCTAGAGCAGCCCTGGGGCTGCTCTTGCTGTCCCTCTGCTCCCGAAGGCTTCTCGGGGAGGTGTTGCAGAGCGTGGCACCGTCTTGTCCTGTGTCCTGGTGTTGCAAGACGATGCTTTGGGGGGAGGAGGATGGGGTGTCTTTGTGAGATGCCGGGGGTCCAAGGGTCCACGGTGGGGGTGGCCATTCGGTCCTTCCTGTGAGCGTTCACGCCTGGGGCTGCTCTTGCTGTCCCTCTGCTCCCGAAGGCTTCTCGGGGAGGTGTTGCAGAGCGTGGCACCGTCTTGTCCTGTGTCCTGGTGTTGCAAGACGATGCTTTGGGGGGAGGAGGATGGGGTGTCTTTGTGAGATGCCGGGGGTCCAAGGGTCCACGGTGGGGGTGGCCATTCGGTCCTTCCTGTGAGCGTTCACGGCGGCTCCGTGCCTCGCTGCAGTCCACGCCAGCAGCCCGCCGCTGAGCGTCGTCCGGCGCTTCGTCCACTTGCTGGAGCAGAGCCAGCACGACTTCTGGGAGGAGTCGGAGGTGCTGCGGCTGCAGGAGGAGGTGGTGAAGAGGATCCGTGCCAGCCAGCAGCTGGAGAGTGACCTGGACCTCATGGACATCAAGATTGGGCTGCTGGTCAAGAACAGGATCACGCTGCAGGTGGGGAGCGTGGCCGCAGGGGGAGGACCTTGGCCACCGCCTGCGGCTCAGCTGCGGTGCCCAAAGCCGTTCAGCCAGCAGAGAGCTGGCCCCCACCCTTTCTTGACATCGCAGCTTGAACTTCTCTCCGCTTTACTTTTGAAGCGGTTGAAGGGGCTGGGGAGCATTGCGGTGCCTCTGGCTCCCTTTCCCCAGACGCTGGGCTGAACGCCGGAGCTTGCCGGTGGTCACCAACGCTTCTCTCCTTGCTCACGTGGCTCCAGGAGGTGGTCTCGCACTGCAAGAAGCTGACCAAGAAGAACAAGGAGCAGCTCTCGGAGATGATGTCCATAGACAAGCAGAAGGGGCTCAAATCGCTCAGCAAGGAGAAGCGGCAGAAGCTGGAGGCCTACCAGCATCTCTTCTACCTGCTGCAGGTGGGGCTGGTGGGGCTCTGCTGTGTCCACCGCTGCTGGGGGAACTGTGCGGGGACCCTGGCCCCCCGCCACCCCATGACACTTGGGGTTAGCTTGGTGTTCCTTGTCCCTGCAGACACAGCCTGTGTACTTGGCCAGGCTGATCTTCCAGATGCCCCAGAACAAGTCCACCAAGTTCATGGAGTCGGTGATCTTTACGCTTTACAACTATGCGTCCAACCCACGGGAGGCTTACCTGCTGCTCCAGCTCTTCAAAGCAGCACTGCAGGAGGAGATCAGGTGGGTGGCCATGGGTGCCCCGGTTTGGGGACAGGTCTGGGCAAAGGCTGAACCAGGGGCATCAGCTTGGATGCAGTTACCTCTTCTGGCTGCTGCCTCCTGTGTTGGAGAACATCCCCGACATCCCATCCATCCCGCCTCTCTCCCCAGGTCCAAGGTGGACCATGTCCATGACATCCTGACAGGGAATGCCACAGTCATCCGGCTGGTGGTCAGCTTCTACCGCAACACACGCGGGCAGAACGCCCTGCGGCAGATCCTGGGTGGCCCGGTGCAGGAGGTCCTGCAGGACAAGACCCTCAGCATCCGCACCAACCCCGTGGACATCTACAAGGCATGGATCAACCAGACCGAGTCACAGAGCGGGCAGAAGAGGTCAGGCCTTTGGACAAGGATGCTTAGTCCAACCACAGGGTGACGGGTGCTGGGATGGTGATGGGGACCTTGTCTTCCATCCACAGCAAGCTCCCGTATGAAGTCAGCTCCGAGCAGGCTCTCAGCCACCCTGAGGTCCAAAGGCGGCTGGATATTTCTATCCGGAACCTCCTTGCAATGACGGACAAGTTCGTCTCTGCCATCACCTCTTCTGTAGACAAGATCCCGTATGTACCCCAGTGGCTTGTATGTGCATCCCTGCAGCGCTGTCAACTTGAAGGTAGCTTCAGCCAGGCCTTAGAAGGGGAGGTTGGGTGATGAGGGGCTTCCCAGCGCCTTAGCTGCTGCAGGACCGAGTTACTGCACCGTCAACAAGGGAAAGGCTGAATATCAGCAGGCACGGCTGCTTCTGCTCCTCCAGCAACGCCCCGGTGGGCTGGCTCTTCTTGCCGCTCCATTTCTGAGTGCTTTAGTACTGGTGTTGAGGTGTCTGCAAGGAAGAAGCTGAGCTTTGTAGTAGTCTTGGAGGATGAAGACTTCCTCCAGGGATGTCTGGGCTGGCAGCAGAGTAGAGGAGGGAGTGAGGGGAGGCTGCAACCGCCAGCCTCTCCTATGGGCTCCTCCATTACCCCAAGGCTGGGGGCTTGATGCTTCTTGGGTGATGGATAGTAGGGATGGGGCAGTGTGGCCGAGCCTAGTGCTGCCCCACACGCTGACGGACCTCTCCCTACCCTCTCCTCAGCTATGGGATGCGCTACGTGGCCAAAATCCTGAGGACATCCTTGGCTGAGAAATTCCCCAAGGCCTCGGAGGAGGAGATCGACAAGGTACCCTGGGGCTGGGGGTGTCTGCGCGGCTTGGTGGGGTTCAGCCGTGTCTGCATCTGAAGGGCCAGTATCCCTCTACAGAAGGCCAAGTCCTCTTGACTTAAAAATGCCTTCCAGTCAACGTGTTCCTGAGCCACCAAGGAAATGCCAACAGTGGGCTCTTCTCTGCCCTGCTGTCCCCTCCGGGAGGGTCCCACCGGGCAGAGCAAGGACGAAACAGCTTTCTCTGAGCTAAGACCTTCTTGGGCACCAGGCCCTGTGCTCCCCAACACCCAGCCTGTCTTGTGCCCCAGATCGTGGGGAACCTGCTCTATTACCGCTTCATGAACCCAGCCGTGGTGGCCCCTGATGGCTTTGACATCGTGGACATCTCTGCTGGGGTGACCCTGCATCCTGACCACCGCCGCAGCCTGGGCTCCATCGCCAAAGTCCTGCAGCACGCGGCTGCCTACAAGGCCTTTGATGGGGAGAACGCCCATCTCTGCGGGGTGAACCAGTACCTGGAGGACACTCACAACAAGTTCAGGTGGGCACCAGGGTGGCATCGGGGCGGGAGGATGGCTTTGAGCTGGTGGCAGGGTTTTTGGGGCTGACTGAAGAGGTCCCTCTCTGCAGGAGGTTCATCTCTGCTGCCTGCTGCGTCCCTGAGCCAGAAGAGAGGTTTAATATGGACGAGTACTCGGAGATGGTGGCAGTGGCCAAACCGGTCATCTACATCACGGTGGGGGAGCTCATCAACACGCACAAGGTAAGGGCATAAAACTCATCTGCAAACCACCAGGCTCCATTTCTTCTGCTCCCACCTCCTGAGCCTTCTGCTGTGTTTCATCATGCTCCTCTGTATCCCACCACCAGCACAGCTCCTTCTGGCCTTTTTTTTTCCCTTTTTAAGCAAACAAATAATCCAGATTCTGCAGGTTCTCTGCTGCTTGGCCTTCCCTGGACCTCATAACTTTGCAGTTCCCCCCTCTCAGGTGCAAAGGGCATTGCACCGTTCCCCACTGGCCTTTGCTCCCCGTTTCTTTGCATGCCCTTTTGCCGCTGACTCTCCCCCCTTGCACCATCCAGCTCCTGCTTGAGCATCAGGACTCCATTGCGCCGCACCACGGAGACCCCCTGCACGAGCTTCTGGAAGATCTTGATGAGCTTCCTACGGTCCAGTCCCTTGTCGGTACGTAGAGCTCTGGGGGCCACCGTTCCCCCCGGCAGGAGGAGGATGGAGATCAGGAGGCTTTTCTTGCATGAAGCTCTAGCTGGATTGCTTTGGGCGTGGGGAAACCAGCCCCCCTGAGCCCCACGTGGCTACTAGGGCTCTCTCTGCCCTCGCAGGGGAGAGCGTTCCCAGCCCGGTGGACAGCAGTGCCGAGCAGGTGCTCTCCCAGCTCAGCAAAATGGAGATCTCCCTCACCCTCGCTGGCAAGCTGGTGCCGGCGGCCAGCAGCGAGGAGAGCGACGCGAGGAGCTTGCTGCTGAGGTGAGGGTGGGCTCAGTGGGCCTCAGGCTAGCTGGGCTCCGGGGCAGCTTGCTGGGGGTTGAGGTGCCAGCTGGGATGCTCACGTGGGGCAAGAAAGCCCTGGGAGGCGAGTAAATAACGTGCTGCTCTGGTGGAGGAGGGTGATGGTGTGGAGCGGACGCCTGACCTCTCCCTCTGGTCTCTAGCACCAAGCAGATGCTGGTGGACGTCATCCAGTCCCAGCCAGGAGATTCCCTCCCAGAGATCCTGTGGACACCGGCCTCGGAGCACGAGGTGGGGTGTGCGAGGCTGCTGCTGGGGATGGGCTAAAACACTTCTTGGGGAAACGGCAAGCAAGCCCTCGGCAAAAAGCTGCCCTGCTCCTCTTGAAGGCTTGGCCACTGGTCTTATGCTCCAGCAGTGACTGGGCTCTGTTTTTCAGAGAAAACGGGTGTTTTGGGCCAGGAGC